GGCTGCATCAGGTCTTAGTTGCAGTGCATGGGCTTCTCTCTAGTTGTGGTGTGCTGGCTCCAGAGCGCATGGGCTTAGTTGCCCTGTGGCATGTGGGATCTCAGTTCCCTGACCAGGGATCGAACCCACATCTCCTGCCTTGGAAGGTGGATTCTTAACCACTGGACCACCAGGGAAGTCCCCTAGAACAGTTTTACATTTATAGAAAAATCACAACAATAGTACAGAGAGTTCCCATACACTCTGTACCCAGTTTCCCCTATTATTAGCATCTTACATTAGTAAGTTACATTTGTTACAATTAATGAACCAGTATTGACACATTCCTATTAACTAAAGCCATAGTTTACTCAGATTTCCTTAGTTTTAGCCTAATATTCTTTTTCTGTTCCAGGATCCTGTCCTGGGTACCACCTTTCCTTTTGCTGTCAAATTTTCTTGGGTTCCCCTTGGCTGTAACAGTTACTCAGACTTGCCTTGTCTTTGATGAACTTGACAGTTTGGAGGACTAGTGGTTAGGTATTTTGTAGAATGTCCCTCAGTTGGGATGTTTTTCTCATGATTAGATTACAGGTTTTTGGAAGGAAGACCCCAGATGAAGGGCACCTCTCAATACATCAAATCAAGAGAACATACTACCAATGTGACCTCTCAGTGTTGATGTTGACCTTGAGCTCCTGGCTGAGGTAGTAGTATCTGTCAGTTTTCTCCACTGCAGAGTTAACTCTTTTCCTCCTGGTTCCAGACTGTCCTCTTTGGAAGGAAGTCACTAGGCACAACCCACACTTAAGAAGTGGACAGTTATCTTCCGCCTCTGGGAGGGCAGAGTACAGAAATTATTTGGAATTTTTCTGCACAGCCAATTTGTCTCTTCTCCGTTTATTTATTTATTCAATCATTTATTTATATACACATTATGGGTATTTATTTTTACTTTTGGTTGTAATCCAATTCTACTTTATTTATTTTCTTGCTCAAATTGTTCCAATTTTGGCCATTAGGAGCTCTTTTAGTTGGCTTCTGTGTCCCTTTGACATATGTCTATCATTATGGGGTTTTCTTTTTTATCACTTTTTAAAAAACCTCCTGGCACAATAAGATACTTCACACTCATCTTTGGTGTTTCCTGCCCCAGTCCTAGAATCAACCATGTCTCCAAGGAGTCCTAGTTCCTTTTACTGGAGGATGCTATAAGAAACCAAGGTTTGAGGTCTAGGTATTCTTGGTGTCGTTGCTTCTAGGTCCTCTCAGCTGACAGAGAAAGGAAATTCATGTGTGTATATTAACTTGTATTTATATGCATGTCTATAAATATTTGTATATGTAACCAAATATTTGTATATGTAGCCATACAGACACATCTATACCTCTATTCAGCTAAACATACAGTGTTTCCAATGTGGATCTATTAACATATGGATCATTCTAGCCTTCTCCCTTTGCTTATCTGTAAACTCTCATGCCAACAATGAGAAATCTGACTCCACTGTTGGTCATTCATTTACTTAATTGTCAATTTCCAGCATGCAGGTATAGTAAATCTGAATTGTTCATCTGTACCCCTGTGGCAAACAACTTTATCAACTCAAGCACAAAGCTTGCTTTCAGTTTCTTTTGCCTTTGGTCTTACAGACTCCACTTACTTCCAAAGTTACTAGGGTCAACACCAATTTCCCCCAAGCCCGAAACCCCTTGATGGGTTGTTCTACGCATTTACAGTATAGTTAACTTGTTTCCTCACATTCTGCATTCCATCTCTGGGATCCCCAACCTCCAGGTGATTTTTTTGAATTTGCATACATTGAGGTTCATGCTTTAGTATTAAAATAATGTTTTAAATTACCTAACATCTAGCAAAACTGATAAACTATGGCCTACCTTGTGTCAGGCCCTATAACAATGTCATTCGGTGGGGCTTTATCTTGTAGTCTCCTCGGAACAGCCCTGATGTGTCCCTGCATAATCAAGGCCCAGGCACCCCAGTCTAGGAAGCACAGACTACGGAAACTGCCTTGTGATATTTATGGCCGTATCTCTAAAATTCTAGGATTCCTTAGATTTGTGTAACCACATTTCTCTTAGCGGTTCCAGAATCTGCAAAACACGATCTATTTGGAGAACTGCATTTACATAAACTTAGAATTTTTTTTCTTGTTGCTCTTTTGCTCCTAGGAAGAAAGTAATTTAAACTGCAGGGGAGAATAATAACTACTGAAGTCAATACTAGCTTTTGTCTAGAACAAATGCCATCAGCGCAACTTAAATTAGAATCCCCTTTGTCAGTCTGGGTTTGCTGAAAGCAACAATTAAGTTGCTCTGCACTCACAAGCAATCTGCTATATTGTTTTTGGGGGTGCTTTATTTGTTGCACCAACCACATTATCCAAACAGCATGTGCAAAATTATGCCAATAAAGGAAGGAAAGGCAATGGTTGTGTGTTGCTGTTATTGTTGGGTGGGGGTGAGGGATAGGACTGGCTGGAATTAGCACATTAACAAATAAATTGTCGTCCTGAAGGACTTTCATGCTTTGTAAATCTTTCCAACTTCATTTTACCTAACTCCCAGGATGATCATCCACCACATGATGGTATAAGGTTGTCCCCAGTGGGGAATATTTATTTCTAATGCTGCCATGACAGATTGAGGACTTGGTAGGAGTGATGCTCTGGAGTTGTATGATTGAGCTGAAAAGTTTAAGAAAAATATACTTAAAGTCTTAACATTTATGTAGTAAGGCACTGGACTGTATCTTTTGTTTGTTTAAGCTACTATTTTTTAAACATCTTTATTGGAGTATAATTGCTTTACAATGGTGTGTTAGTTTCTGCTTTATAACAAAGTGAATCAGTTATACATATGTTCCCATATCTCTTCCCTCTTGCCGGACTGTATCTTTTGATGTGCTGCCCCACTGAGAGATTGCAAGCATCCCTGGGGGTGGAGCCTCCCCTGTGGTAGGAGGGACTGCTGGGCGGGACTTTTCTGCATGTTAGTTATAGATCAAACAGCCACCTGTTGTGCAATGGGAAACTTGGAACCCAGAGAAGGAATCTAGAAGCAGATGCTTCAGGTTGAGATGTCCTTTGGCACTTAGCAATGTTGATTAGGTATAATAACAGAACTCCACCTCTGAAGAGATAGAAAAAGGTTTCCCCCAAACTTTCCAGAATATTATTTTTGTTCATGGAAGCTAAGCATACTTTGTCATCCAAACACTTGGTTTTGCATGACTGGGAGGAAGAACCAGCTTAGTCAGGAAGGACAAGCTTACCTGAACTTCTGTTCACTTCAGGCTGGAGGAAGGGCTGAGAAAAGGAGTGGCTGGGCTGGGTCATGCAGCCTGGACTGTTGTCACGGCCCCCACGAGTGGTGATTTCAGGTGAAATGTGCCTGACATTGGGAGGGTTCTCAGGACTCCCATGATCGCCATGCCCGAGCTCTGAGGGTCAGACTCTACCTGCTTAAGACAAGGGTGGGATTTCACCCAAAGGGAAGAAATAATGATCTCTTATCCCAGAGGAAGAGGAGGCTCGGTTTGGACCAGGCTGAGAAGATTCTTCTCTTTTTTCTGGGAACTGAGTTGGGCTTGGACTCTGAACTGCGGAGGTGGGGACGGTGCCAGGGGAGGCCCATGGAACCTAGACCGGGGTGCAGAGGTTGGGTCTGAGCCTGAAATCCTGACAGTATCCAACTCTAGAAGCAGTTGTGAATTTCACCGAGCTTATGACCAAGTCTTCTGTAAAGTTTTATGAAAAACCTGATCTCAGATGTACTATGTACAGATGTATTGCAGGGGGTTAAGGAGAATCAGACCCCCTCTTGGAGGCTGGAGAAAAGGATGCTATGAGGACAGAGATGCATGGCCCAGTAGAGTTGCACTCTTATATAAGAAGCAGCAGCAGAAGGCTGCAGGCCAAAAAGCATGAAAAAAGCAACCCCCCAAAACTTACCCCTGAGAACATATGTGATGGCACCTTGAGAAACCTCAGATTAGCTGGGAGGCATGGGGTGAGGGTGTATGTGGGTGTTGGGGAGTGGGGGCTACATCTGGGTAACTAAATCAGGAGGAGCTCATGCAGCAATGTCTTGGGAGGGCAAAGATGGGAACCTAATTTCAGTTCAAGGTCACAGTTTGGAAATGTGAAGGACACAGAAGTCCCACTTAATTTTCTTCAGCTCCTAAGCATGTTTCTATGAATTTTATCCCATGAAAGGAATGCTACTGCACATCAGAAACAAATTCAGTGGCTAATTTGAAAAAGCAGTTATTTAAAAATAGAACAATATTTCAAACATCTTAAGCTAACGGCAGCACATGGGAGTCACATTGCCCCCTTTCTCTTCTTCCCATAACTCCGACGTATGTGCTTTCTTGTGCACACAAGTTCACTCTTCTCTCTCAAACATCCTTAGCACAAGTGGAGGACTTATGTTCTTTACAATCCTAAAACCTTTGATTATAACCCACGCTAACATAACAAAGGTAATAAAATGTGGAAGCTTGCCAAACATTTGTAGAGTACTGTGCCATTCACAAAGCACTTCAAAAATATTTGATCTCATTGGAATAACACTTTCTTGCCAGCGTAGCTGTGTAGGTTTCTTTCCATTTTATTTTATTATTTTTATTTATTTATTTATTTATTTATTTATTTATGTGTAAGCAACAACTCATTTTTAAAGACTGGGCAGACATGAGCTCCCACTAGCTTTCTAGGTTCAGCACACAGGAAAACAATGTTCAGTTTCCTTTTTTGGTATCACATGCTCGATCTCTAAACAGATACATGAAGTGGATCTCTAAACTGTGAGTGGAAGTAAGCTAATCATTGACATTCCAGACACTTTGCTACTTGACACACTTAAACAAAAAATGCCCAGCCGCTCTGCAAACTAAGTTTCTACTCTGGAGATAAATTATCCCCTTAAGGGGCCCACACAGCTCTGCTGCGGTTCCTGGTAGACTCTGACCTGTCTGCTTGTTTTTTTTTTTCCAGCATCCCTTGGAGTACCCCGCTCAGAGACTGGCACAAAGGGAGTGGGTATCGTTGTTGAACAGGAAAAAATAAGGTAATTGCCACCAAAGGAACACTCCTTCAGTCCCAAGCCTTTGCTAACAAGTGACAGATTGAATCCTCTTAACTACCATGTGATGTATTGATTATAATCCTATTTCACAGATGAAGAAACTGAGGCTGTGATAATGTGATATAATAAGAAATGTATATTTGGTCTTTGTCCTCGGTTCCTGGCACAGAGATCCTACAATCCTTGTAATTTCCTGAGCAATAGGGGTGATAAAGAGCATATTTTGTTATCATATTTGTTGTAGTCCTCAATTCCTGACTCAAGGGCTTCTAAGCTTTTGGGATCTCTGGAGTGATAAGAATGTGATTCTTATGCTAATGAGATGACTGGTGGCTGGGGTCCTCTAAAGAGCCTCAGGATGGGGGCTGGTCACTGGAAAGACCACAATGAGAGGATCGGAACTTTCATCCCCACCCCCTGACTTCCCGGTGGAGGGGAGGAGCTGGAAACTGAGGTAATCACCAATGGCCGTGATTTAATCAATCATGCCTATGTAATGAAACCTCCATAAAAAGCCCTAAACTGCTTGGGGGCGGGGGTTTGGGGTGATTTAAAGAGTTCCTGGTTGGTAAACCGACTGAGGTGCCGGGAGGGTGGTATGCCCACATAACTTGTCCTGTGCATCTCATCCACTGACTGTTCTAAGTTGTATCTTTATAAGAAGCTGGTAATAATAAGTAAAGCTTCTTCCTGAGTTCTGTGAGCTGATCTAGCAAATTACCAAACCCGAGGAGAGGATGGTGGGAATCCCCGATTTACAGCCAGTGGGTCAGAAGTATGGGAGGTCCAGAACTTACACTTGGTGTCTGAAGTTTTGTGGGACTGAACCCTCAGCTTGTGGGATCTGATGCTAACTCTGAGAAGCTAGTATCATAACTGAGTTAAATTGTAGGACACAGTTGGTGTCCAGAGACTTGGAGAATTGCTTGGTGTGGAAAACCCACACTTGGATATCACAGCTGTTATGAGTAAAAATGGTTTATAGAGGCTCAGAGAGATTAACTTGTCTAACTCCACACAGCCTAAGAGTGTAAAAGCTGGTATTTGAACCGAATTCCTCAGATTTTAATTCCGTAATACCATGTTGTCTACTGTTTTATCTGTTTAACTTCTGGAACATTCTTATTAATCCTGGTGCTGATAAAAAATGTATTTCATGAGAAACCCACAGTGGCACTTCAAAATGAACATTTTTGTAATCTTTACGAGAGAAAAACAAAGCATAAATACACCACTGAATGTCACAGTGAGTGGCTGAAGTGCTACGTCTGGAAATTAAGTCTCTGGTCCCAGGTTCACTATGGACTAAAAATATTAATTCTGATAAAATAGGTGGTCTCTCACTTTTGCTTATTTTGTTTTACTCTTTCAAAACATAAGCAACTCATTATCTGTGTTTTTGCTTATGAGATAATATTAAACTTCAGGAAACCACATTGTTCACTTCAGTGGAACCAGCTGGGGAAAAGGCATGATAAAAATTAGAAGGATCACGCCCACTAACAATAATTCCACCACCAGCAGCAAAACCAACAGCATAATCATCACCACTACCCTACCACCAGTAAGACGACCACCACCACCATCACCATCAGCATTAGGTTTTCTTGGGACAAGACAGAAGGGGTCGATTTCTCTTCCTTATGTGGATATCACATTTATGACTTCCCTTTCACTAAAAAGTTATGTCCCATCACTATCCAAGCCTATTCAGACTTCAAACATTGAAACATGGTTTTGACAGGATACAGAGTTTTAGTAAGTAAAAGCAAAGAACTAAGCCACATTAATGGCAGGGGTAGTTTACAAACTCTTTTTCATCAGTCAGATTCTTTTCCTCATTTATATAGAAGTGGTCAACTTTCAGAAATGTCTTTGAAGTAAGTTTAAATATACGCTTTTTCTGACTTACCCCCACACCTCCGAAAACACGCACGCGCACACACACACACTCGCTCACACACTCAGACACACTCAGACACACACACACTCACACACACTCACGTGATTCTATAATAACATTTAGCTCTTCCTTATGAATTTATGTTATACAAATACAAATGTCTCTCTCACTACTTGTCTTTCGAGGCCCTAGATTAACACACTGTATGACTAATAAACTGGGGATCAGACTTTGCTCTCTGCACAGGGTAGTTTCTAATCTGTAGTGACCTGTGTTATGAGCATAATCCCTATGTTTAAAAACTGTAACAAGTAGATAATGACTAAGATTAATTTTCTTAACCAGTTAGATTTTGAGCACACAAACAGATATTTTCCTTTTCCAGATATCAGTATAAAATCTATTAAGAATCCATCTGAAACTGTTCTCAAAGTCTATGACATCTCTTATTTTATGATGGTAAACTCTCCCTATTCAAAATGGATTTGTTTTGAAAAAGGCCTCATTCAGAGGCAGGCTGTTGAGTAAAGGGAATAATCAAACTGAGTATGAAACTGTTTGTTTTTTGGTTAAAAACAAGCTTTTACTAAAATGTAATACAGTGATTCTGAGTGGGTAGGTAAAAATTCTGGGGATGGTGTATGTGTTGGTTATTTTGAAAATGCATTCTCAGATGGCAGATTGAAAAAGAAAATCCTTGATTTCATTAAATAAACAGTAAAAAACATTTCAACTTAAGTTTAAACTTTCTGGGATGGCATGATAAGTGTGGTGGGGTTTAGGACAGAGGATAGCTGATGGTCTTAAAAATTTTTTTTCACATGTCAAAAAGATGTATGAAAGGTTAAAAAACGTTGTAAGAAGACTTTTTTCTTGTGTGGCTTCTAACTTGATTTTAAAAGAAATTCACAACATAGGACTCCAGAAATATTTTGAGAAATGGCCTCTGCAATGAAATAGAGGTATAGTCTTCTTAGGGCGACTGTTTTGAAGGTTAATGCTCATTTTAATATTAAAGTTCTAGTATACTCACTTAAAAAATTAGATTAGGGGCTTCCCTGGTGGCACAGTGGTTGAGAGTCCGCCTGCCGATGCAGGGGACACGGGTTCGTGCCCCGGTCCGGGAGGATCCCACATGCCACAGAGCGGCTGGGCCCGTGAGCCATGGCCGCTGAGCCTGCGCATCCGGAGCCTGTGCTCCGCAGCAGGAGAGGCCACAAGAGTGAGAGGCCCGCGTACCGCAAATTAAAAAAAAAAAAAGGAAGACACATATGCTGGCTCCTACTCTGTAGTTTCTCTACTGTCTAATCTGAGAGGCAGGATGGGCACCCAGGTGCCCAGACACATATGGACACCCAGGTGTGATGTGTTACCACACCCCAAACAGAAAGAGCAATATATTTCCTGCTCAGCACAACTCCCCTATTCTGGACGTACAGGTTTCACCAATGTCCAATTTCTTAGACAAGAAAATAGCTGGTCCAATGAAGGTTCACGAGTGATCAGTGTTTCTAAAATCTAAGACCCTTTGTTTCAGCCCCGTGTGGCAGTCTTGTATCCCCCTGGCAGCTGTGCATTCATGGGAATCCACTGAAGTCATTTGTCGGGAAGGAATTCCCTGATTGGGCTTGGAACATGATGCAGCTATTTTTAGGGTTTCAGCTGGTGTCCTTACCAGTTCCACATGATCTGGAAGTTGCTCCACTTCCTTCTATTGAGATAATTTGGGAAATGAGTGTTAGATGGAATTTCATTCTCTGCATCTATCATTACTGATGTTTTAAAATAAACAAGTTCTTAGAATTCTTTCCACCAACCGGAAAAAATCTAGTTGCCGCTTCAGGTTTGAGTGCCTTAGGAAATTATGGGAAAAATCAGCTAAAGCGAGTTGAGAATCTTGGGCCCCTGTCACCATACGAGTAAGTCAAAGAAGGAGCCTCGCTCGGGACCGGCTTGCCAGGTAATTTTCACACTGGACTCTGCTGAGCATCACTGTAAAGGATGACAGATTGTGAGATGGTAGGGCAGGGTCACATCCTCTACATCCCCTGGGGTGCTTGTTAAGACTCTCAGAGTCCACCCAGATCTTCTGATCAGACTCCTCAGGGGTTAAACCCAATAACTTGCATTTCTTATGGACTCCCAGGTGACTCTTAAACACACGCAAAAGCTTCAGAACTACTGCCGACTGTCCATAGATTTAGGAGCTGGAAATTAGGGTCTGGGCTGCCCCCATCCCGATTCCACATTCATCTACTTTACGCATGGGAAGAAACACTTCTGTGGCCAAAAAATTTAAAAAGTTAGAAATAACTATTCCAGTGTAAACCTCTGAAAAAGACTTTCTCATGCTTATTTTCACTGATGATTTCTTTCTAGTTAGAATACAAATGAATGCATAAGAAAGTGATTTTGTCCAGAAAACTTCAGGATATAGAAAGCCACTTACTTCATCTACCACAAGGACCCAGTTCCACATCTCCAGCTGCAACTGACCTGTAGGATTCGGGAGACTCCCAGGAGTGTTGGGCCAGGGTGTCTGGGATTGATGGCTGGCCACCATTGCACATCCAGGACCCTACTTCCCCGTCCACTTCTCAAATTTGGCCTTCAGCCCAAGAGCTCCTCATTGCAAAGTTTAAGAATGTGACATATACAAGCATGATCACAGAATGCATTCCATATGCTGGCTTTTGGGTCACACAGAATGAAGACATTAAGAACATGTTAATATGGTTGCTTGTAAGACAATTTTGTGGTTTTTGCTGTCCTAAATACCTGAAGTAAGTCTTTCTTACTGTGTCAAATTTAACAAGAAATCTAGAAGATGAAAGGAAGTAGTGGAACTTAAACTTCCAAATTTTAACTCGTATAATATGCCATTGAGTTTCACGTTATGAAAACTTATTACTATGACTCAGATAAGTTTCGTAGGGTAAAAACTTCAAATCCATAAAAATACAGTACATAGTAACTCACAAATGTTAATTAATTTATTAAGCATCTGTTATATACAAAGCTCCATTCTATATATTTTGTGAGAACTACACAGGGGTTAATATATTGATTCAGGCTTTCA